CATTCCAAACATTTTACATTGCAGTATTATCATGATAATGACTTATATTTTAATACTCTTTGCATGTACTTTTAGACATGAGTAAAGTTGAAACATTGTTATTTTTAGTTGTGAACAATTAGTTAAATGTTATTATGCCACATGTTGTTATGTAACGGCAGTCTCCGCCATGTTTTAATTAGAATGAATAAAGGCAGTGAATTAACAACATATTCTTTTCTTTTTAGTATCATATCAGCAATTTGACTCGGCTAACATTTGTCTGACCATTTGTCTGCAAGTCCATCACAAAACTTATCCATACTATTTCTAAAAAATTACTGGTACAATTTTACAAGAATGATCAGTACCAGGTCTAGTTGTGCATATCGTTAGCATATTTTAGTTCTATAATTTTTGTCGGTGTTATGGCTCTAATTATTCTTCTATTTCAAATATGTCCAGATTACTTCTATTATACTAAAATGCAATATGAGTGAAACTTTACAGAAATGATCAACTGCTTCATAATCATACATGTGAACGCTAATTGTTCTTGCCTATAATTCTATCGATGTTTAAACGATATTTTTCCCCAGCGCAGGGCAATATTTTCAAAATAAAAAATGTAGAAATAAGTAATTGATGCCTGTTTTGAATTACATATATATTCTTACATGCCCTTATTATGTTTTAAGTAGACGGTTCATGCATTATATAAAAATGTTGATTTATCATGTTTTGTTGTTTTACTTATTTGTACAAATAAAAATATTTAACAACACATTGTTATTGCTTGGGTTCCGGCCCTTTATTCATAACATAACAAAAGTAAAATATAAAAAGAAAATAACAATCTTACGCTGTTCCATTACAATAAAAAAAAACACAAAAAAACTTCATACAAAAAACAATTTGCAGAGATAGCCGTATTAGTATATAAAAGTTACAGCATTCACATTAAAATATTTAACTTGCTGAAAATATTAAATAAAAACGAGCCGTTTCTTTATAATTCATCTTTTTTCTCTTGGTTCCTTATATATGCATTGCTAATGATTTCGATATACCAGTTCAAATGTATATCTCTGTTTGGCAAAGAAAATAAGTTCAGAAAGTTAGGGTCTTCATACAAAAATACACTATATTTTAAACTAAAGAAAACATATAAAATGGAATATGTCAAAAACATTCCAGAGTAACCTGTACGATTTTTATGTTTTTTATGTTTATCAAGTCAATAATGCTTTGAAAAAAATTCTAGATGACGTTACAATAACTTCGCTGAGGCGGGGCAATATACGTCCGATAGTACAAGAAGGTTCATGTTGTAAATAGCTATTAACAGTCATTGGCATTTAAAGCTTAAGGTCAAAGTCAGTTCAACTCTTCAGGAGGTCTGGTCCAAAAGGGTGTTTTGTATAGTATAGAAATAATCCATTGATTGCTGAAGGTTTCAGCCAGATATAGCAAGAATCAGCGAAAATTCAATAACTCGATCTTCAAGGTCATACATATGTCGAGGTCAATTAATGTTTGATATACATGAAGGTCCTGACCTAAAGATGTTGTGTCTAATTTATTTAAAAATAACAAAGTTATAGCTAATAACAGAAAAAAACAAGATATTTCATTAATTTGACCTTGACAGCCAATGTCATTTTAAGTTCAAGGTTTTATCTAAATTATACATTCAATATATTTGTTTGGAAGAAAATCTTGTTTTGTCCAAAGTTAACGTGAATGTCAGTTCAACCATATAAAATGTATTATCCAAAAGGTAATTTTTCTATATATGAATTTATTAATCACCAAGTTACGGTCAGTTTAATATATCGAAATTCAGTGAAATTTCAATAGTTCAACCTATATGGTCAGTGTCATAAAGGATCCAAGGTCAAGTTATAATTAAGTCATAATTTTTTTGTCTTAATATGAACTCAGTCCATTCATATATAACAAAGTTAAAGCTAGTTAAAGCAAAAGGAATATAAAAATTAAAAAATATGACCTTAAAGGTCTAGATCTTTTAGGAGTAGAGGTCAAGGTCTGTTTAGTTAACTTGAAGGTTGATCCTAGAAGATTGTTATGTTCAAGTTTGAAGAAATCCAATTAAAAATAACAAAGTCATAGCCACTTTAAGAAAAAAATCAGCAAAAAATAATTGAAATTGTTTACATGATAAACTTAACTTTTCATCAAATACAAGACATTAAAATATAAGCTATCTTGCTTCTGTAAAATAAACACATTGATTTTAATATTTGTTATAATTTACATAGTAAATTCTAGACTTAAAAATAGAAAGAAAAATATTATAAAAGATAATGAGAAACTTCTCATTCTTATTTCTAAAATCATACTTTGATATGATAACATATCAGAATAATTATGTTTCCATGATCCATTGACAAAAACATGGTGAATTAAATTGCACAAGAATATTTTTAACTTTAATTAAAAATGTTTGCGGCAAGTTATTTCTTTGGAATGCGTTCATGTTCTACGAACTTTTAACTGTGTTTCTTCTTCGTGTGTTTCATAAGAGTTTTTGTATGACTGAATAGTTTTTTTACAAATACTGCACTTGAGAGGATCTTTACTTGCATATGAGAGATGAGACGAAATAGCTGCTTTGCTTGGAATTTTTTTCCCACAATGTTTATATGTAAATACATTTCCTTCGTGCGATTTGGAGTGTCTGTAAAGATTGCATTTAAACCTGAATGCTTTGCAACATTTTCCACATTGATGACGTTTTTCTATTCTCGTGCTTATCTTTGTGATCACTAAGACCTTTACCATTAGAGAAGGCCAAGCCACATTCATCACATTTGAATCCTTTGATTGGCTCTTCTTTCTTTGTTCATGGCGTTTTAAATAATGAGATGTCTTGAACGATTTGCCGCATTTACATTTGTACTTACGTTCAGAGGAATGACGCTGCATGTGTATTTTGTAATGGTACTCCGAAAAAGCCACTTGACTACATATATCATTTTATAAACCTTAGATTGCGTCGAATAAAATGTACTTTCTATAGCATAGTTATGTGTACGCAGTATGAAAAACACAATTTTGTGTACGCAGTATCTTGATATTTAGAGTGTACGCAATATCATAATCTCTTTTTTCTGTAAATAGTGCGATTAAATACTTTTTAGTACAAATGAATTGGAACGAAGGTTGAAAATATATTTTTGAAAAGGATTCTACAACAGAATAACTTCCAGCCGTTTAAAACGGCCAGTTTAATCGATATTTGCTCATTTTCTGTAACATTTCAACCCCGGGTGTACGCACTATCCAGAATCAAAATCGCATCGCATTAAACGCGAAATACTGACAAAACAAGAAAGAGTTACTTCAAGACATTTTGTATAAAAAACTAGAAGTTAGGACACCTTCTTTGCAAAACAAATTAAATTCATACCTTTTCTGATTTCTTCACACCACTCGTTTTTCTTCGAAATACCGGCCGATGAAGTGTTCGCGGTATCAGAACTTTAAGGATGCGCGCGCGCATGGTATAACCCCATTGTAGATATTCAGGTCTTTACCGCCGGCCATTGTAGGATTCTTATAAAGGAGGCGAAAAAAAGTCACGCCTCCGTTTATAAGAATCCTACACTGGTTTAGCTGTGCGAAATTCAGCGATTAAACATTGCGATTCACATACATTATCTATAAATTGTCAAAGTATGCAAACATATAAAATATCAATTACCCTGCCAGTGATGGGATATAAGTTGGTAATGAAAATTATGTAGTAAATTATGCATTTAACAATAAAAAACATACCTTGATCGTTTTTAATTCAACTGGATAATTTCATCTAGTAGACTCATTATTTAAACTCTATATAATGAATATATCGTTTATGTACAGTATTGATCTTTCAGACGAGTTATTTCATTTATTTGGATCAGCTACGTGTTAATATACATACCTGATTTGGATGCACGAGCCTATAGCCTGCGTGACCGCTCCTATATGTCAGGATATATACCAGGATAATGCATGCACGTTGCAGTCTGTCTGTAGTCTGTAGTCTATATTTAATGAATACTAGGGCTCACGGACTCTAACATACCATCATCGTCCTCTGTACTAACTCCCCTTGACATTAGTTTAGACACCGGCAGCTGCTCTGCAGTTCATGTTCTGTGTTATTTTTCGCAATCACAAGTCTTCAAATCTTCTGCCGATGCACTGTGCTTTCTCAGCGACGTGCACGCGCTCCAAGGGGTAGTGAGAAGTGATGAACGTGACAGTATGTTAGTAACGTATTTTAATGACATGTGCGCACATCTCAATGTCTCTTATTATTTAACATCTTATAAAAATAACCAATGAACATTCAGCGCATTCCAATAGTAACCATTATCGGATCCAATCTTATCAATTTAGCCTCGTTTACATTTCCAGAGTCCAAAACACCCATATCAAATGCATGTCGTAACATATTTAGACTTGTTTTCATTCTCAGAGCCCAATGTATCTTTATCAAACGCACACTCCATCTAGCCCCATTTTCAGGTTTAATTACTAAATTGATTCCTAATTATACAAGTAATTGAAGTTCTGTCAAAATGTCATAAATTATTAATAAAGAGTTAAGAATACATTGTTAAGAACAATACTGATTCTATTGGACTCGTACATAGCTGCGAAACCTATATCAAACTCGACAAGCGTCTCGTCCAATATATGTTTGGCAGCAATAGAATTCAGTATTGTACACAACAATGTATACTTACATCATATTATATATCCCGTTCAATAAATGTTTATAGAACGTGCCAATTGTCATGCATGTTGGGATCGTAAAAGATACATGTATGACAATTGACACGTTCTATAAACATTTATTGATATACATTTATCTTATTTTATTTATTTAATGTTTGGCCTATAAATTCATTGTCATTGTAACTTGTATTTCAAAGGCTGTTAAGACGATTTATAATGTCCTATAAAGTTCTTAAGGCGGCAAAACACTTGTCATTATTTACTTTTCTGTGGGTAACAAGATATGACATCATCGTAATTTTATTTGAAAAACTACAATTTATCAAACAGATCATTCTGATTTGATACAAAATTTTATTCTTGCGTTAGTTTAGAATAAATAAGGATTGTGATTTTTGTTGGAGCTACAACGTGTAAATATGTGGAGCATTGCAATAAAAATTCTCGCGACAGCAACATTTATGTTCTTCGCTTATGGTAAGTGCCTTTTTGCTTGTTTTCAACTTATAAAACAACATGTTCATTTTCAATAGATTTTGGAAACGTATTTAAATAATATGTGGAAATTTCTCAGACATTATTGTTATTTCTTGATAATACAAATATAGTTTTGTATTTCTATACTGCCTCTACGTTCCGCACGTTACGGGTGGATGTAGGGGAAGGGGCTAAACAGTAAAGAGTTAAATAAAGGCACATTCAGCCTCATAAATGAACACATTTGTTTTCATAAGAAAGGGCAAACAAGTGTTTTATAATGTTTTAAAAATGGATAAAGTAAACAATGGATTAAGATAACGTTAGATACATGTATTTATTGCTATGAGAAAGAAGCGCTGAATATGAAATAAATTGTCAATAAAGTAGCACACTGTAACCAAAGTTGTATTTTGACTCCCATGAAAAACAATCAAAAAAACTGTACAGTACTTATTAAAACGGATTAATAATAAATAAAAAAAAATAACAAACTAAACAAAAGATGGCGCAGTTTGAAAGCTGTAATTAATTGACATTAAATATACAAATGTTTTTTTTTCTTTTTTTTTTTAAATAGCATTTTTAGGTCATAACGGGCCTTTTTAGACAAGAATTTTGATATTTTCATACTTGTAATAAGTACATTTGAGCAAAGAGTACTTACAAACCGATGAATATTATAATCATACTCATCAACTGAAATAAAGCTGCTATTCTCATTCAGACAGTTTGTTTATTTCGGACGTATGAACATTATTTCCAAATAAACACAAACTTGTGTAGATTATTTTATAATTTTGAGGATCTTCAACACAAAAGGTTATAAATGTTGAAAATATTTAAAACGTATGACCAGTTTTTTATGAGAATTCTACAATCCAAATACATCTTAATTTTCAAAGACCTTAGTAAATGGAAGGTAAACTGTTGTGCGACTACATTGGCATCATAAAAACCTGACTATCATTTTTTATTACACATTCGATGAACTCTCAGCGTTTAAACAATAGGAATTATTTTCAGATCAAATCTTATCAATTTAGCCTCGTTTTCATTTTCTGAGTCCAAATATCTATATAAAATGCATATCGTACTCTATCTAGCATCAGTAATTTGTTGCACATACATACAACTACAACGTGTTAATATCATGAGCGTATTATACATTGCTGAGTCCAATAGAACAAGTACACTGTATTGTCATTTACAATGTGTAATGACCTCTTTATTTTTTTAACAACCACTGTTTTTATGAACTTTGTTACTTCACGTACAATGTGAATTTATTATGAATTTTTAAACTATGAAAGTCGTCATTATTTCATTATTTTCCATGATGTTTCTCTGAATACCAGTATTGTGTGTCCTCATGTGCTTCATCGGAATGAAATAAACTATCTATGTTGACGTATAAATGTAGAGTCATTAGGATATATTCTGAGTGTACTGAAATCGGTCATCCGTTGAACATCTGATCGGAATATCCATCCCGACGGTATCCATCAATTGTAACCGCGTTTCTGCCAATGGACACGCGGCTCATCTTCATCCCAATCATCAACCCCGGTTGAGAATTTAAAGAATGTAAATAAATTAGTAAACTATTCTCGTATATATCATACAGAGTTGCAAGGAATTATGCTTAGTTTTTAATACCCAAACTAGTTTTCTGTGAAATCTTTTTGAATATAGGTGGAATCTCGCATAGGTATTTGAAATAAAATATAATAGCCTCATTTGTTGGTTTTGCTAAAATGTATTCGCAATATTACAATTCTCAAAATATGCTATGATCAGTTTAGTTTCAGTACATCAGTTTAATTTCAGTACAAACAATACATGTTGTATATAGTTTCAGGACAGACGATGAGTTTACAGCCAAGTACGATATCTGTGGGTTGGGACGTTGCTCCAACGGAAGTTGTTGTGATGGAATGTAAATCGGAAAGTTTGATTTCTGCCCAGTCAATATATTCAATGTACATCAGACGGGAATCAATTCCTTTCGCTCAAATACACGTAGGAAAAGCAGCTGAAATGAGTCAAAATGCACCAAGTGATATTAAAGTTAAGACACCCACATTGGACGGAATTATTGATGTAAACAACGTTTATAACAGTTATTTGAAAGCAACATTTCTAGTTTCAAAAATGGACTGTAACGATGCTAAGTTGTACCAATGTGCTGTTACTTACAAACCAATCGGCATGGACACAACGTTAGGTATTGCTGAAATGACACTACGCGTAATTAATGGTAAGTATATGTTGAAAATAGAGAATAATGAACGAGTATAGTAGAGTAATTCTAAATTTGTTGTCTATGAAGCGACGATAGTTGATTAGCCACCATGCTGAGAGCGCTTTGTTTTGAGGTTAACCGTAAAATGAACAACAAAGAATTTAGGCTGACATTGTATCTGTGTATAAACCTGTGATGAGAGAATAATAATAATGTTACGTGTGTCTTTTTTAAAACGCATAGTTTAATGAATAATGATAAAAACATGACTTGTCAATAAAACGAATTTTTAAACAAAATTTATGAATTTATATGCAGGTACATGTAATCTTTTTTAAGTGCTGAATATAAATATACAGAATACATTATGTAGTTTTTATTTAGTGTTGGATCTGTTGTTTTTAATAATTGAAATAATAGAACACCTGAACAATTAAAATATACTTCTGACTAATTTATTTGAATTGGACAAATGACTCAGCTAAATGAGATCATGCCTTCCTAATCAACAACATTGATTCCTTGTTTACATTTCTAGTCTACTTGATGAATGAGAACAAAACGCGTGTGTATTGAATTGATTAATTCATAGTTTGAAATTCTGAATACCTTTCACCTTTAAACAAATTCAACTCATTCCACTCTGCACACACGCAAACCCTTTTAACAATCCGAATCCCGTAAGGATTGTAAAGTACTTTCTTGTCCTTAAGCCATGCCCTTTATTTTAGGATTTATTTTTGTCTATTCCCCTGCTTGTCGGAACGCCATATGTTTCAAACAGGCATACAGTCGATTAATATATTACTAGTGAGCCAAGAAAACAATTATAATAACAACTCAACATCAACACATAAAAACAAGAGCACAAAATGAAAGGAATACAACATCGTCTTTATTTTTAAATAATCACATAGCATATGAAATTTTATAAATTTGCATGCATTACATTTTTACCATAGGAGTTTAATAGTAAACGCAAACAGCATACATTATGTCCGTACTCGCTAACGGCCTAGAGCAGCTATTAAACAAGGTTTTCTTGAATCATTTTGATTACATATTTCATCGTTCAATGAGTAAATATGATGTACAAATGCTTTCGAAGGCATATGAAGTTTTCTATCTTGATATCTTGGAATTTTGGCTCGCTTCGCTGCAAATTTGTGCACAATTAAAAGGACACAACTACATGTATTTGGCAGCACAAAAGTATTAATTATATTATGTACATTAAAGTGCGACCGAGAGACCTACAAATAAGCGCTGCACTCATTCATGAATATGGTGTTGACCCTATTCAGAACCAGTCAATTATTTACAAAGGGGAACAGGTAGAATTCTCATGCACTGGTTACATTGGTAGCTCACAGTCTACAATTATAGAATGGTTCAAGAAAAAGCCACCATACATGTTCTTTCAGGTAAGTTATTTTCCTATACAAACTATATCAAAAAGTTATACACTGGCGTCTTCAAAACATCGTCGTAATTTATGTCGACCAGTTTTTCATGGTGGCTGATTTAGATCGCTTTTGTGTATCGTGTTGTCGCTATGTCACACAGTCGCTCGGCTCAAATCGAAGGATTGGCTTATAAGTCAAACAACAGTGCGACATCGAGACAACCACCAGCACGACAAAGTGCCGTTTGGCGTGCTTTGCTAGAGAAAGGTCGACAAGACGACAGTGCGACAACACGCCGTTTGGTTTGTTTCGCTAGGGGCAAGACGAAAAGGCGATAAGGATATAGGTTGTGTTGTCGCTATCGACAACCCAACGCGCAAAATGTACCAAATCAGCCACCAAAATTTTTAGCTCGACTTTAAGAAAATAGAGGTATTGTTACAGTCATCTCGGCGTTGCCGTTGCCGCTTGCAATCGCAAACTTATATATTGATCATTACTTTTTAAGTGCTTAGTGTATTGTCATCATACTTGGCTACAACAATCCTTGGAACAAGACCTTAATGTAGACTAGAACAACCTTGACCTTCATTCATAAATGACCTTGACCTACAAGGCCAAATGTTTAAATTTTGCTTGTTTTTTTTCTGTGCCGATTTTTGAAATTTAGTGACCATAATTTTGTTATTTTTGAATGGATTGTCTTCAAACTTAAATAAAATTATCCTTTAGGATATAGACCTTTAAGTTGACCAGACAAGCCTTGCATGACCTTGTTTTGATGGTCAAATTATTACATTTTCATTTTTTTGCTGTAACTGGCTATAACTTTGTTATTATTGAATGAATTGGCTTTATATTATAACAGAACATTCTTTAGGATAAGACCTGCATGTAAATCAAACTCAAATTGCCCTTGGTCAGTCAATAAATGTAAAATTATTGAATTTTAACTACTGTAACTGGGTAATTAATAAATGGATTATAAAAACAACATTTTGGACAATGCCTTCTTAAAGGCTGAACTACCCTTTACCTTGACTGTTAAAGTTTAATGTCATTGACCCTCAAGGTCAAATTATTAATTTTGGTTAAATTGTTATACGTTTTTGTTATTTATGTACTTATTGATTAAAACATGGCCAAAACAAGACTTGCTACTAAATAAACATATTGGTAACCTTGACCTCCTTTTTTCTGTAACTGGCTATAACTGTGTTATATCAATGGATTAACTTCATATTAAGTCACAACATCTGTAAGGTCACAGGACCTTCATGTATATCAAGCTTAAATTGACCTTGAATTATGTATGACCTTGACAGTGACATGACATTTTAAAAGGTTGAACCGCCCTTAACCTTGAGTTTTTAATGACTTTGACTGTCAAGATCAAAGTATTGAATTTTGTTTAAGTTGTCAAAAGTGTGTTTTTATGTACGGACTTGATTTATATTTGGACAAAACAACACTTGTGAGCAAACAGACTGGTGAAATAATTTACATATGCCTTTAAATGACCTTGACCATAAAATGATTAAAATTTACTTATATTTTCTTTTTTTTAACTGCGTCATATTATTAAAATGATAAAGATTCATGCTTGGATAAAACAACAAGAGTGACAAGACAGACATATTGAAATAAAAAAAAAACTTAAAAAAACTTTTCTTTTTAAAAACTTGTTTAACCCGTTTAGTTGTTTGCTTTAAAAAGTAAAAAAAAGTCGAGCATTGCCCGGCCGGTGGTTGCTCTTCTTATTGTATGATTCTGCATCAGCGTAACAGTTTTGGTTAAGTTTTTATATTACCCACTCGTATACTAAATACACTTTAAAAGGCGTTTCTTTAATGCATAAATTTGTTATATTCATTCTTATTTTACGACTTATTATAATTTGTCACAATTCGGTACTAATGCACCCTTTTAATTGATTGGGCTTTACGTCAAACCAACAAAGTATAGCTTATATAGCGACTTTTCAGCTTTACTGGTAGAAGAAGTCATCAAATGCCTCTCTGTACATTATTTTAGGCACAATCGGTCACCTTGGTAGTTCTAACATTCTGTAAGCTAGCTGTATATTTTCTCACATGGTTATCCGAAGACGCTAGCGCAGTTAGAACCAACAAGGTTGAGAGGAAAGCAGTTTTGAGTCAAATACATTAATCACTCCGGCTCGGGCACCCGTTGGACTTTTAAAGAAGAGGCTCTGATTCAACCATCATGCTTATTTGATGGCTATATACATATTCCACTAGCAGATATAGTATAGTCCAGCGTGCTAAGTTGCGGCCACCTCTTGTTTACATGTAATAAAAAAGAGAAATGTTTGTTGCCATTCCTGTACGGCAAAATATTCTCTTAACATTTGCCATTTCTACCCGTTCACCGCCTTCTCTTAGGTAATCAGATATCACATTATTCACATGATAACATAATGGACGACCAAAAAACATTAAGGTTGGGATATCTGTATATATAGAAATACAGTGCGTAGCCCGATACCAGTGTAAAGACTTCTGCGGAATACGCTATATTCGAAATATTTATCTTTAAAGAAGCAAAAAAAAAAACTCGGTTGATCTGGAAAGAGCCCATTCCACTTTTGAATAAAAGGCTAAATAGAGATTCCTAGCATTTTTGAAAATGCTAACACTTTACAATGATTCGATGGTCATTCCTTATTTAACACATATGTACTGCATATCTGACAAAGTTTCAATGTTATTTTGTCTTTCGTTCTCACCCTAGAGGCGGGTATACCTCATAACCTTTGATCCCCTTTCAAAATTCCATTTTGTTTAGTTCCGTCCATTGTTTTCTCGTTTAAAGCACACGCTTTCTTTTGCTAGGGGACCATACGCCGCTTTTCATGGAATGGCACTAACGTGTCACATTGAAGGTTCCATGATAACCTCCGTATGAACACATCTGCGTGTGCGGTAGTTTGCACTTGACAGTACCGTCCATGAACAGACTCAATCAAACCGAGCCTGCAACATTTTCAATTTTGCCGTTTTGGACATTCTTTATGGATTACGTTTTTCTCTATTTTACACTTTCAATGCAATTACACGTCTCATTTAAAGCTGAAGAGGTTCCAGTTAACTTTACATATATATAGTTTAAAATAGATGACTTACTGTTAGGTTATTTCTCAACACTCTAGCGTTGATTTATGTCAATTTGTGAACTTTATGCATTCCTGGTTAAAGATTTGTGTTCTTTGTCCAATCCATCCAATTCATTTGAAAACATTACACAGATTTTTTTCTTGATAACATTTGTGTCTAACTATCAAATCTTAACATATCTCTTGCATCGATTCTCCATAAATTAATGCATTCATTAGAAACTTTTCTACAGGATCCTTATTATATGTGACTAATCAATATCAAATACACGTATATCTAGGACGAATATTTACTGAATTGTAAACCTCTTACATGGATCCTGGTTAGGGTTTTGCTATTTGGGTTAAGATTGCGTATGATTACTAATAACTGAAGAGATTTATTCGCAACTTTGTATCTTTTTTGTGAATAAACGAGCGCTGAAAGTAGTATTGCAAGCATTTAGTATGTCGCTCTAATTAAAGATTTTCTACAATAAGACGTAAATGCCGTTTTTAAAATGACGTAATTGAAACTATTTCAATAAACACAATATAATTGTAGCGTTTAATAATAAACAGTAGTTGTACATGTATTATTTTATGTTTTTGTTACATCCAGAGACATTTCCCTACACAAGCAAACGACACTATAGATGACGGGTTGACAGTCTCTACACCATGCGAATACATGCGCACCTCTAAACTTCGCTTCACTATAACGTCTGCGGAAACTGCTAGTGCTGCGTTCAGGTGTGAGGTGGCGACACATATCTATTCCGGTGGAGAAGTAAGAGTACGTTCCGAGGAGTTTCATTTATTACCAGGTAAAATGTTATATACGGCTAGACAAGCTAGCCGAATGTGTTCATATGATAATTTTTTCAAAGATTAATTTTGTACATGGATTTAGCTTGACGTTTTGAAAACTTTTTGACGACAACACGCAGTGCTGAAATGGAACAACGCGTTAATGGTAAGTATATGATGAAAATAGAGGATAAAGAACAAGTAAAATATTAATAGATAATTTATTGAATGGATGATATAAAATAATGTATTTGTGATATTTATCACATATCTAAAATAAGAAATGTTTACAGTTACAAAGTGAGGTTTCGTTGACGCGCCTTTAGTGAAATTCTAATATTCGTGCGCTTCACTAATGCTTTGCTAACTTTGTATATAAAGGGGTATATTACGCTCATGTGCTGTGGTTTATGTCATAAGTTATATTATCAAATGACAACTCTAGTCAGCATCAGAATTGTTAAATATTTGTAGTACAGGGTTAAAGCCTTTGTGACTGGCCTATGGTAGAATACCGCGCTCCAGATCCATATATCGGACAGAATCTGGGTTTGATTTCGGCTTTCTAAAGCCACATTGGGACGGCGATAGCAACTATGCAGCAACCGTGCGGAGAGCGCTTTGTTTTGGGGTTAACCGTAAAATGTACAAGAAGAATTTAGGCTGACTTTGTATATTTGTTTAATCAAACAAGAGAGAAAACTAATAATTCACTTGTGTCTTTTTAAAATGCATCCAAACGCTAAATAGTTTAACGAACAATGATGGTTATTTCTTGCAAATAAAACAAACAATAGTTAAGCTTTAAACGCACTAAAACGCTAAATAGTTTAATGAATTATTATAAAAATATTTCTTGTCAAACAAACTTGAAAAAAAAAACAACGTAAATACAAACAAAAAACAAAAACAAGAAATGTCGAACGACACCCTTGACTCATACTGTTGGTAAATTGTAAGACTTGCCATTCAATAGTTATTAATCAGAAACCACTTTTACATTTGAGGTTAATGTGATCTTGACTTTTGACCTAATGAACGTAAAATCAATAATGTCATCTTCTAGTTATGATCAATCCAATATATGAAACATATAGACTTAATAATAGATAGTTTTTAAGAAAAAGAGCAAAACCTGTTCCGACATTTAAGGCCCCGTGACCTTAACCTGTGACCCAAAAATCAAAAAAGGTCATCCACTAGTTATGACCAATTAATATATGAAATATGAAGACTTGGTAACCAATTGGTTGCAAGAGAGTAAGCGGGCACCTTTTTATACATTCAAGGCTATTGTAACATTTACCTTTGACCTTGTGATATCAAAATCAAAAGGGGCCATATACTATTGATGATCAATTGAAATGTGAAACACAAAGACTTGATAACAAGTAGTTTTGAAGATAATGAGTTTAAATTGTTCTGGCATTTAAGGTCCTTATGTCCTTGACTTTTGACCTTAAGACCCCATTATCGATAGGCGTCATTTATTTGTTATAACCAATCAATATGTGAATTTTAAAAACATAGTGATAAGAAGATTTCAAGATAATGAAGGGAAAGCATTCCGACATATAAGCCCCTGTGACTTTGGTGTTTAAACTAGTGACCCTAAAATCAATAGGGGTCATCTACTGCATATGACTTATACTTGAAATATGAAGACGTATGATGTTTAGTAAAAAGTTTTCAAGATAATGAGTGGAAACCATTCTGACATTTAAATCTTTGACCTCGACCTTTGACCTAGAGACCACAAAATCAAAAGGGATTATCAACTAAATAAGCCAATAAGTATGTGAAATATGTTCACTTTGTGATAAATAATTTTCAAAATAATGAGCGGAAATAATTCTGACATTTACGGCTCCTGTGACATTTACCTTAAACCTAGTGACCCCCAAATTAAAAGGGGTCATCTACTAGTTGTGCTCAATCAATACGTGAAATATGAAGACTATTTGATAAATAACTTTCAAGATAATGAGCGGAAACCATTCTGACATTTAAGTACTCTTTGACCTTGACCTTTGACCTAGTGACCCCAAACTAAATAGGGTTATCTACTAAATATGACAAATCAGTATGTGAAATATGAAGACTTTGTGATATAATCGGCGGAAATCATGCGATCTACCGACCGACCGACCGTCATTAGCAAAAAAGTATACCCCAGGGTCATGAAAATTATTGAATGTATATACAGGTTATTTTTTTCAAGTGCTGAATATAAATAAACTTCATACATGATTATTTATGCAGTATCTATTTAGTGTTGGCTCTGTTGTTTTTTAAACTTTCTCTCAATGTCCAGTTAGTTATAAATCACACTCATTTATGGTATTATACTGTAAGTTAGTAATGCATGTAACGTTTAATGGTACTAGGTCTCGATATGAAATTATTATTTTTTGTACAATTTATAATTTTTAATTCGAAAGATGAATATTATTGAATGTCTGAATTATCCTTTCTTTTGCTATAGTTACAACAGCAGATACGGTGATCTGACCTTTTGTCATCAAAAAATTAAATTTGCCAAATGGAGTCCATGTATATATATAGAGAGTCCATGTGTGGGGAATCATATACTTTATAAAAAAAAAACATCATGTGAGATGTATAAATATAAACAACCAGGGAATCAAAATAGAATTTCATAGGCAGATAAATTTTATAAGGAAATACTTTAGAGCAGTACCCAAGAACCTTAACCCGTTCAGAAAATGAGCCGTGACTTTCTTCTGCATCTGCTCTTTGTACATTTCTTTTTACATTTTTCTGCTCTGTATACAGCTCGTATCACATTTTGAACACTTTCAAACATTACTGGTTGGTTGATCTCATAAAGCCCTACGGAAGTTATTGTTTCAAGTTGTACATTATTATAGCTTGTTAACAATTATAACAATATAGTTCAGTGCATGCAAAGATTCCTTCCCTTTCTCATTTAAATCGGTCAAGTATTTTCACAATATATTGGTTTTCAATTTCATCAGGAGTAAATTTTTATTTATATTTTCATATTTTATGGTTTACTTGTACCTCAGTTTATCTATGCAAGAATTTATTTATAACTTTAGGGTGCAGCTACTTTAAGATACTCTATCAAAACAATTTTATTAAATGTTCACCTTGATAAAAAGATATTCCATAAGTATTTGCCTTAAGTATTTAACTGATTTTGAATAAGATATATCATCACATGTACATGACTTAAAATCATGCTCTTGTTAACAAACGATGATCTCTTCATATCTTCCCTGTGACTAACACTTTGGAATGCCATATGTTGGGGATGGATGGGTTTGAAAAGGCACTTCTTGAATTCATTAAATTAAATTTGTTACACATGCCATTCTAAAACCAATAATAAAGTTGGTTATTTGTTTTCTTTTTGATACCGGAAATAATTGAACATCTGAACGATTAAATTGTACTTCAGATTATATTATTTGAATTAGACATTAGACAAATATTACCCAGCTTATTCAGATCATGCGTTCCGGATCAACAACATATTAATGGAATGTTTAAAATTTGAAACTTCTTGATGAGTGAAAAAATGCTTGTCTATTGAATTGATAAATTTATAGTTTGGAATACCGAATAACTTTTAACTATTAACAACTCATTTCTCCCTGAACACACACGCGCGTGTCTTAAGTCGATTATTTTTTCACAAATGAGCCAGGAAAACAACAAACACAAAAACAACAGAACAACATCAACACTTAAAACAAGAGCACAAAATGAAAGGAATACAACATCGCCTTTATTTTGCGATAAAGACATAGCATATGAAATTTTATTAATCTGCATGCATTACACTTTCACAATTATTTACACAGGAGTTTAATAGTAATCGAAGAAGGATGCATTATGTTCCCTAGCCGCTTCCGTAATCGCTAACGGATAGAATCATTTTATCGCCGTTCCTGGACGGCGATATATACAATTGACAAGATTTGAACAGTTCTACCTGTACACCGCTTGCCTTTAGCCAATCAAAGCGAATAATTTAGTATCACATGATAAAAAATGGACGTCAAAAGGGATGCTTAAATGGATTCGCCCAACCGCCATGTTTTGTCAGGATACTTATTCGTACAACTGAAAAATACCATTATCAAAGTACGAACTCAGTACCAGTCTTTAGTCTCTTGCAGGATAAACACAGCAAATTGCAATATTTTTGCTACATGTCATTTCTGATTATTAAATGTAGCCTAAAAAGATTTTTTTTCCAACACTTGCACTAAAAGCAAATGCTTTCTTCCGGGCGAGTTTAATATTATGAGTGTTGTTAATGCATCATACCTGTAATATAGCAGGTCAGTTATAGTCCGTTTTAGAAAAAGAAACTTCGCAAAGCAGTCGACGGAGTATATAACGTAAATTCCATTTATAGCATGTTCACAGACATCAATTTTAATATGTTGTTAATTACGCAAGATGCTAATTCTATTTGCCGATTGATGCACGTACTTATTAAGTAGTGCATGTAGTCTAACGTATTGTACTACGAGTCTAGTTATTGTGATATTTTTCTCATGGGCAATACTGAGTATCTCCTACATTCTGACCCAGAAGAATCTAACTGAACGCGTTTAACATTTTGACATCAATGGAATGGTAGAGTAAATCAAGTATTTTTGTTGGCTTTATGTGTTGACCACATACAAGTATTAGGCAAGAAAGGAAATATTATTTCTATATTCATGGCTGAACGGCGATTCCAAGCATTTTTGAAAATGCTTATACTTGTTAATACATATTTCATCGTTCAATGAGTAAAGATGTCGTGCAAATGCTTTCGAATTATCTACTCTTACCATTTTTCAATAGCATATGAACTTTTCTATCTTGATCTCTTAGATTTTTGACTCGCTTTGCTGCAAACTTTGCCAAATTAAAGAGACACAACTACAATGTATTTGGTAGCACAAATATATTAATTATATAATGTATTTAAGTGCTGCCGAGAGACCTACAAATCAGCGCTGCACTCACTGATGAATATGGTGTTGTGCCGATTCAGAACCGGTCACTTATTGACAGAGGGCGGCAGGTAGATTTCTCATGCAGAGGCTACATTGGTAGCTCACAATCTACAAAAATACAATGGTTTAAGAAAATTCGTCCAGAAGGGTTATTTCAGGTAAGGTTTTTTTTCTATACAAACTATTTTAAAAAGTATTACACTGACGACTTTAAAGACGTTTTCCGGAGTTTTCATATAAACATATAGGCAACATTAAAACTGTTCTAAACTTGGCATGTTGTTAGAATATGATAACAGAAACATTTTAAACGGAAAAAATGGGGTCAACGTTCTCATTTTCGAGTTTTCTGCCCTTGAATTGGACTTTCCCGTTAAATTCAAGGGCAGATAATTTACAATGAATGGAAACTATATAATTTTTTTTCTTATTTTCATGAAGCTTACCTTCGTTTAAGTTGATATGCAAAATTTCAAGAACAAATTTAGAGTGGATAGTTTATTTTCCCACTTCTTCTCTTAGCCTGTGCATTTTTTCTTAAGAATTGGCCTTTTATGAATTTAAAGTACCTTTATTTTCATTGAAAAAAATTAACAGGAACGAAATAAGGAATTGCGTGTAATTATGTACTGTATTCAACAATAAAAAGAAAAGCATTATCCAGAAGTAAAAACAAGAAATTATTTACGTATGTATAAGTTAGTTATCTGCCCTTCAAATGACCTCAAGTAAGTATAAATTTTTCTTCCGGGGCAGATAACTCAAAAACGAGAACGGTGACCCCAATTTTTTTTTCGCTTAAAATGTTTCTTTTATCATATTCTAATAACATGCCAAGTTTAAAGAAATTTTATGGAACAGTTTTAATTTTGCCTATATGTCAATATAAAAACTTGCGAAAACGTCCTTAATATAGCTTCAGCATCAACGTCACTGTTTTGGCAACACATTCGTTTACTATACCCTTTTAAAAAGGCATTACTTTACAGGCACATTATGCCTCAGAAACTTTCTTTTTACAATTCTGAAACGACAAACATGAATATTATAATGTTAGAGTAGGTGTTACACTTGGCAAACAATTATATGTCTCATTTAAAACCAAATAGGTTAATTTGACTTTACTACAGTTGATCTACTGTTTTGCACGGATTACGACTGAATTATGTCACTTGATGAATAACTGGTTAATGTTCCTTGTATAATTTCTTCCATAATCCACGGAAGGTATTCATTACGCAATTTTGTTCTTGATTACATTTGTATATCACTATCCTATATCTCTGTCACCGATTCTAATTAAATTAATTAATGTAAATACACCTTCCCTGTCGTCCAGAAAAGTAATCAATGTATGAGCATCTGAATATGACAGTTCTATCGTTATCTCTTTCCCTGTCGTCGCAATAAGAAAACCCCAGGAAAAATGAGCCATTAAACGAGGTAATACCTGCACTGTGCATGTGTTGGATTACGATTTTACTCTGACACGTTTTTTTTTTATAAAAAGTCTCCGAACTATGATACGAGATGATGTATGATTATTAATTATTACGTCACAATTGTGTATCTTTTAATACGAGCAAAGAAAGTAGTATTTCACGCATTTAGTCTATCCCTGTAATTAAAGATTTTCTAGCTGTACATGCATTGTTTTATGTTCTTGTTACATCTAGAGACACTTCCCTACACAAGCAGACGACTTTATAGATGACGGAATACCTGTTTCTACTCAATTTCAATACATGCGCACCTCAAAATTACGATTCACCATGACAACTGAGGAAACAACAAGAGCTGCGTTCCGGTGTGAGGTGGCAACACAGCTCTCTTTCGGACGAGAAGTACGTGTACGCTCGGAAGAATTTCATTTAACACCAGGTAAAACGTTACATTCTGCTGAACAAGCTTACCGAATATTTTCATATGAACTATTAATAAAATATTTATTTTGCACCTGGATTTAGCTCGACTTTATGTAGAAAAGTAAGACTATATTACAAATCGGGCGTCGCACACGGTCAGAGCAGCGGCGTATCACTGTGGTTAAAGTTTAAGCGTCTTGTACACATTCATATCCCATAAACCACTAAAGATGTCTGCTTTTTTTCTTCACACTTTTTTTTCCAATTAAGTTTTGATACATAAAATGGTGGTCACTTTCCAAGGCAAATAACTCTGGCATGGATTTTTGCAAAGTGATGACCTATTTGTGAACATTAAAAAATACTAGGTATTATATTGGCAGGCAAAACTACTCAGGGAATTCACTTGAAACTTAATACATGACTTCTATATTATAATTGAAGGTTACTTCCCAAGATCCAGGCGTGGATGTGTCCTTTTTTGAACTTACGAAAGTCATCGTCACTGGCAAATACTCGTACTTCTTTCATGTAATTTGAAAAAAAATCCTATATTTTCCAGGCGCAGTCCTAAGAGACGTCGAGCACGCTGTCCTACTGACAGATCTTACAATATGACAAACTTTATAACAATAATATATTATAAGTTTCGACTTTATGTTTAAAATCTCGACATGTCTTGCAAAAGTGAAAAATAATTATTCAAGCCCGGGTTTTGTTTTCCGTTCCTTACTACTTCACCTGAAATCTTGATAACAAAATTATCATAGATAAATAACTTCCCATGCTTGTGACGCAAGGAACACATCACACTGTCGCTTGATTTCAGTGTTATAATATTATACTTATCTCTTTTTGTTTCACCATATAAGATCCTTTTCAGATCAGTTTTTGTTAGCGTTTTGTTTTAAACATGAAAAATGAACGTATATCAAAACATTATGTTCGATCCATACCTATATCCGATATTAAATACTTAGTGTGTTAATTTAGTACGACCCTACTCTGTTTATGTGAGGTAACAAAGAGTCAAATAAGTCTTACAAGTAAAATGGTTTCCTGCGGGGAACATTTTTAATGATATAAAGATATTACATTTAACTATTTTCAATATTTTTTTTTATTTATTTATTTATTTTTTTTTTTGGGGGGGTGGTAAATAAACGTTTGTATCAGGAATATAGTTAACAATAATCTATTAATATAGAAGAAGGTCTTCGGAAAGTGGTGACCGTTGAAGACCGGAGAAGGCCGAAGATAAAACAATTATTTCTTTTTTAGAAAATGATTAAATAGGCCTACCATTTTATTAAAAATTCCGAGCAAAAAAAATAATAAAGTAAACACACAAGTTTACGCAGAAAATATCTCTATTGATTATGGCAGATGCCACTACGAATATTTTAATTTTGTAGATTTTCAGTATTTGTAAAATTTGAGATAGATTTTAAAGAAACATCGAAAAGGTTAATTAACCAATCATGTACGGTTTACAGATCACATGCTCCTCCATGTACCGAAAACAGGTCACGTGCTCCTCCATGCCTCAAAAGTTAAACGCGTACCAATACCCTGCTGTCTCCAGACCGCAGGGAATAATAAATTCATTGATTAAAAAGTAAACGGTATAAATTGATCATGTGACATTTAATATATTACAGATGATGTAGTAATCATACATTTTCTTACTTATAATATAGCGAGATTCCTATGGAATAAGTTACGATATCAGAATTGTTTGCAGTTATTTTGAACTTGATACTCTTATATTTGCAGGTTTCTGTGCTATAAATCAATTAAATGGAGCGAACAGATTTACTGCATGTGCGAGTGTCTTATTTTGGACTTCAATTTACGTATTTTTAACCACAGTTTGCTGTAAATAATACTAGATGTATGAAATATTGTATTAGTTTTTGACTGTATTATAAACGGTAGATACAATATAGCACTGTATTCTGTATTACACTTAAAGGTTATACTATATTAACAACTTTCTTACTTCATCGTGCGAGGTACACAACTCATACGAGCCATTTAGATCGCACGAGTCACGCATAAATACAGAGGATGAATCAATTAAATAAACACTATGGTTCTTCTCAGTGTTGCTGACTGAAGAACAAATAAGATATAAGAAACATATAAATCATTAAAAACTTCGTTAAAGAACGTATATTAACAGATTAGTATATTCCTAACAACGAATATATGGAATGTTGACTTCCTTATGATTTATCTAATTCAACTTGAAAAGAAAAAGGAAACAACAAAATGTGCGTAGTAAACTAAGTGTTAACGTGTTTAAGTACACGCGTTTGGTGTTATATTTGTTTTAAAGAGATAACTCTACTATAATAACATAATAATCTTGTTTGTATAAATATGCGAGGTATAAGTTTAAAGTACATGAATTGCGCATGTGAACAATTTTGTTAGCAATTCTTTTTAACATGAATAGATATCTTTGTTATTGAAAACTTTCTTGTCTGAATAAAATTTCATTATGCAAATGTACATGTTCAAAGTTTTGCTCATTTTTAACAACATTGTTATAATCTTTTTTACAAAATCAAGGTCACTTTTACTGAAAATAGAAAAATGGTTTCCGGACAATAACTAAAGCTAGACGTTAGATATTCTTATCAAACTTTGTATATAGCAAGCTTTTATCTAGACCCCGATTGGTATTGCATTTGAATTTTCTTGGGTCAAGGTCATGACCACCGTTCCTAAAAATAGAAAATGGTTAACGGACAAGAACTAAAGCTAGGAATAAGATATTCTTATCAAACTTGGTATATATCAAGCTTATATGAAGACCCCGGTTGGTATTGTATTTGAATCGCCTTGGAGTCAAGGTCGTGGTCACCGTTACTTAATACATGTATAGAAAAATGGTTTTCCGATACAAATTTGATTGTGTTACGAGCCAGGCGTAACGAGAAAGAAAAGCCAGCAACAAACTTGTAACAATAACAAATTTATTACAGAAAAATTATTAAAGAAAAAAATAAAATAACAAATTATCTTTACAAATACCTGAAGTCCAAATAAAAATTACAAATGTCTAGTCTGATCCTGGAATGATCCTTTTTTAATAGCACAGTTAAATCCAAGTTAAATCCAAGAACACTTTAGAATAAATTCCCACAATAAAATCCACAAGAATAATTAATAATCCAAGCTCCAATAAATCACTTAATTTCCAAGTTGAATAATACTCCAAATATATTGATGACTTAAAAGATCACTGATGACTAAAAAGGTAACTGATGACTTAAAGATCACTGATGACTTAAAAGGTAAGATTAATTAAAAATGTCTCCTTAGATTATATTAACTAAGAAGTTTCCAGAAAGGTCTATTATGTTCTCAAGTAATCATAATCTAGCAACTTCAACAATAAAGATCATTCCAGAAGTTTCTATCTAAATATAATGCATGAGTTTTCTACAACAGTTAAGAACCTTCTAGTACATACATGTAGTTTATGTTCTAAAAATAGAACAATGATAATATTGGAAATACCAACTGGTCAGATATAAATTATATACGTGTAATATGTTGCATACATAACAATTGAAAGCGATCTTAAGTGAAAACCCTGGTTGATTACCCATTTGCAACCCCGGGGGTCAAGATCGAGGTAACCGCTACTATAAATGGGATCAAGATCGAGGTAACCGCTACAATAAATAGAAAAATGGTTTCCAGATAATTGCAAGAGTAAGAATTGGGATATTGTAATCAAACTTAGTATATAGCAAGGTTATATGAGAACCACTGTTGGGATTACTTTTGGTCCCCTGGGATCAAGGTCACCATTACTAAAGATAGTAAATTGTTTCCGGAAGATGACAGTTAAAAATGAGATATTGTAATCAAACGTTATATTTAGCAACCTTATGTGGAAACCCTCGTCGGGATGGCATTTGGACCCCCGGGATCAAGGTCACTATGACTTAAAATAGAAAAAATGTTTTTCTGACAATAACTAGAGTTAGGAATGAGATATTTCACTCAAATTTAGTATTAAACAAATTTATGTAAAGATCCTGGTTGGAATTGCAATAAATTGAAATAACTCTTTGTACACAGTTAATTAGTTATAGAGTGAGTTCAAATTTTTCTTCAGACCACTTATTTTTCAAAAAGTCAAAGCTTCTGGTGGGGGTATTAATCAGCTTAAGTGATACCTCTAGTTTTATTTAATTTACATGAATAGATATCTCTTTTACTACATCATCTCTATGTTGATAAATAACCATGTTCAATGTATTTCCCATTTTAACAATATCGTTCACATCTTTTTTTTATAAAACATGAATAAAAAATTTTGTTATTACAACGGCTTTTGTATGAATATATGACCAATGCATCTGATAATGTTTTGTCTATTTGAACAATCTTTTTAACGATATCTCTGTTATAGAGACTTCAGTGGATGTTGTCTTTGTATGAACATATAACTCGTCTATTAAAACTTCTTTGTTCTGTTAAAATGTGAAATATGTTCAAAGTATTGTCCAGAAGAAAAAATCATTGACATCACTTTATTATATAGATAGATATATCTGTTGAAACAACGCGTTCTCTTATTTACGGTGGCACAGAGGTGACATCTGTGCCTTTTTATATATTTCGTGCGCTTGAGATACTACGTCGTGGTCACGAGTTACACAACATCAATGTAGATCATCTAATGGCCATGGGTAATATCCATACCAGATTAAACAAGTACAAATGTTGCTGAGGTGCAGCAATTAAGATGCGCTCATTTCAGATACCTTACCTAATTATTCCCAATCATTGACAAATCATTCAGTACAATTGTTCATTATTCCGGATGTTTTGTAAATCATTTAAATTTGCATCATTATACTTATCGTATGCACTGTTCACGAGAGAGGGACCAATTTTGAAAAACGTTTAAACTGCTTTCACGGATGCCTACCTGTTCAGGAAAGTAATTCCAATACAAACAAGACTTACATGACTACTTATGTGAGATGACAGTAGTACAACATTGTTCTGTTTGTTTCACTACTGTAGTCAGTAATATTAGATGATAAAAGATGTCAAAGCCCGTACATTTTCTTGAATACCTATAATGCTACTCATTTTGTACAAATATTAATACCTACTCTTGGTAAGAAATACAAAAATCCATATGTAAATAAGCAAAAACAAAAACGTTCATCGCCTTTTTTTCAAAATGTCCGTTACATGTTTCACAGCAAATGGTATATCATGATATTACACGAAAAGCATTGATGCAAAGCATCAAAGGGCGTCCAACAAGAAATACAGCAAGTGAAGATTAACTAGTAGACATCTGATGACCAGATTTTTTTTTCAATGGTTAATTGGATTTTACCAGAATTGTATATCATAGATGAATTGTTCACTAACATCATGTTCATGCGAGTCAACGATATAAAAGCTACTAGACATTGTGATAAATAGAGAACTAATTGATTTATTGGGAGATAAAACCACCATCAAACAGATTGCCTTCAAACTAATTAGAATCAACTTCTTACAGCAAAAAATATTCACGGTAAAAAATGTCAGAAGTACAGCATGAAAAATCAGTGCCGTAAAAAAGAAAGGAGCCATTAATTTACCAGTAAAGACAATTTCAAAATGAAAATACTATGATATATCAATTTGTAAAATTGGCCTACTTAAAAAAAATTTCGATAAATATATAAAGAGTTCAATAAATTGTTCAATAAATTTGCAATTTATTTCCTGCAAAATTCTTCAGTTCGTTATTCATTACCATAGCGCGACACGAATGGAAGTTTCGTTTCAGACTCACTAAACTAAAACTACTTTTCTAAATAGACTTTCGGACTTATACAACGTTAAGGGCATCTATTTATAGCTTTCGAATTCATGTACAGCAATAACATACATACATGATCCACTGTGTACTTTAAAAGACGTGAAATTTGTTCCCAGTTATCATTCATTAATATAAGATGCTGCGAATCACCGAAGGGGAAACCAATATATGACTTCTTTACATAATAGAAATCGAAAGAAATTCTTTTTCCGAATTTATTTTTAGCTGTGAATCGAAGGAAACAATTGATGAAAATCGGGTCCATGGACAATAAAATAGTAAACACAAATAGTTAATTTACGTAAGCAAGTTCGTATAATAATTTAACAATCCTTTACCTTACATTTTTTCCCCACATTTCGTCATTTAGAGTATTTTGATCTACCAAAAAAATTTTAATTATCTATATAAAACAGTTTTTGTCGATTGGTTCAAATTGTTTGTCATCCTTTTTGACCCTTTCATTTTTGGGGTCATTGATTTTGGTGTATTTCTCCGCGTTACTATAAATTCATTGGTTTTCGCACTTTTTTCACAGTGCTTAGACACGTTATGGTCGATGCAGAGTTTACTTTCGATATTATTTGTTATTGAATGGTTGTGCTGTACCCATTTCTTTTCATTTCATTGGGGCAGACGTCTAAACTTAAAATGCAGAGGGAGCAATTATTATATGTTGTTTCTTTTATATGGAAGGTAGCTTTTAATTTATATGAATTGTGTGATGCCTCTAGAAGGAAAACCATAGAGGGCCAAAAAGGCTCCAGATTACAAGGCCTTACACGATGGGAAAGACCCTGTTGTCTGGGACTCCGGGTAAGATCTCTCCTGCAGATAAATTAATACTGACTCCCCACTGTCAAAGAGCTCGTACATATACAATGTTGCCGAAAGTAATGAATTGGGGAAGAAGGCTCTTATTGGTTAACTTCGTGATTAAGAAGAAACTGAATAACAAGTTAAAGAGCACCAGAAGTTGTTACATTTACGTAAACAATTCAAGGAACATGAACAGTATGTCCAATCACTGGAGAAGTCATTGATATCCGGTACAGGGATTTCGGATGGTGCTAGGTGGGATATGATGTTTCCCAGCCACGTTGTCAGTGGGGCTACACCGAAAACGAAGACTAATTCTATGGTTTCTTTCAATTTTCGTTCAAGTCGGTTGCTACGTCTGAGGCTAGTGAGAGTATAAATCCTTCTTTTGTCAAAGATTTCTTTCTTCCTATTCTTTCTTCCATTTCAAACCCTGTCTATGTCATTCATACGTAAATTTCCATTTAATATCTTTCATTTATCGGTTCTTTATTGTAAGTTAAGATAAATATTTAGATATATTATACTGTCTTTATATATAAATTTCGATGTTTGTCATCTGCAACAATACATATTGTCTCCACAATTCATTGTTTCTATATTATCTACGGAGAATTCCTGTAAAATGATTTTCATCTGTCACAGAGTTCTGTTCATCATGAATATTTTTTGTCGGATCATAATGGAATAAAGATATTATTTCTGATTTTCATGTTTTTTTTTAGTTTAAGAAATACTGGATTCGTAACTTATCTTTGTTGACAAAAACATTCACTGTTTAAAAGTTAAAGTATTTGCTTATATGACATTGTACACATACTGGTATGTAAGCGTGCCAGAAACA